TCCGGAAAATCTCATCAGGCAAAATGACAAAGCAGCCTCGTTAGGCGGGAGGGAAGGACAGCAGCACCGACATCATCATCCCCGGGCAGAGGAGGCTGCGCTGTGAGGATATTGCGCACTTTAATGGAGTGGGTGCTTTTTTCCTACGTTTATAAGGAAACCAGAATCACTTTTGTAAAAAAGAAGGAAGCAAAACTAATTTTTAACTCTCTCAAGGAGTGATCAAGACGTCAACAATCCACATAAGCCCAAGAGAAAATTTAAAATCTATTGAGAATTTGCCCTACCCACCTTGGCTCAGTGGATAGAGGCCCATGAGTTCGATTCCGGTCTCTCTCACATTGATGTTTCTCTCTGTGTGTCTCTCTCCCTCCCTTCCGCTCTCTCTAACAATCAATGGAAAAATATCCTCGGGTGAGGATCAACAACAAAATTCTACCAAGAATCTACTTCCAAAATTCAACAAAGGAACAAAACCTGTTGTTCTAAATGAATTTGTAAGTGAATTCTATCCAATAGATTTCCATGTGCTTTTAAACACCCCAGAGCATAGGAAAATCGGAAAAGCCTCCCAATTTATTGCTCCAAATAACAGCCATATTAGTTAGTCATTGCTGCAAATATGGTACCCCTAAGACCCAGTGGCTGTAAACAGTATTTCTTATCACAGTTTCTGTGAGTCAGGAATACAAAAGCCACTGACTTAGGTTCTGCCTCACCGTCTCTCCTGAGGCTCATAAAGGTGTCGGGCTGTAGTCATCTGAAGGCTCGACCGGGGCTGGAGGGCCTATTTCCAAGATGGTTCACTCTCACGGCTGTTGGCAGACACCATGATTCTTTGGCTCTTGGCAGGAGACCTCACCTCCGCACTGTAAGGCCCTCCATAGGGCAGCTTGGGTGTCCTCAGGACATGGCGGTGACCTCTTATAGAATGAGTGACCTGAGGGAGAGGACAGGGGAACGTTGCAATGATTTTATGACAAAGGCCAGGAATTCACCATTCTGCTTTGTTCTACTCAATAAGGAGGAGCCACCAAGTCCAGCCACATTAAGGGGAGGGGAATTAAGTCCCACATCTTGGAGGAAGGTGTATCAAAGAATTTGTGGACATAATTTAAATCCAACGCAGTCTGCCTTCCGGCCACAAAATCTTTCCATTTCTCCCACGTGCAAAATACACCGACCCCTTCTCAGGGCTACTTCCCAAAGTCCATTGTCTTAGCGTTCGCTCTAAATCCAGGACCTTGCATCGAAAGCAGGTCCAGACCTGAGGGTCCTCCACTGGCTCCTTCAGTACCAAGTCCACTTCCTCTGGCCGAGGACCTGGGAAACACACGGAGCAGTGACCTGCCCCTCACACACCCGACAGTGATGGGGTGGACACGGTCACGGGTACTGACACTCCTGTTCCGAAGGGGAGAATGAGAGCAGAGAGAAGTCACCTCCCCATTCTGAAACCCAGCCAGGCAGATGCGGGAGTTTTTCTTGTTCCTCCTCCTGAGCGAGCTCTTGGCTCTGTCCTCTGGACTCTTGGTTCTGCTGAGTCATCCTTTCTCTTTCTGGAAAAGATAAGCATGTTTCATGGCAAAACTTTCCACTAGCTTCCTGCTGGCAGGACTCTGGGGGCCCACGGTCTCTCGTCATGGTGTCCTTTGGCCTTTCAGTCCAAGCTGGTGCTCCTCACATCGACACACTTCTTTTAAGTCTGTGTGTGTGTGTGTGTGTGTGTGTGTGTGTGTGTGAATGTGTGTACATGTGAGTGTGTGTGAATGTGTGTACATGTGAGTGTGTGTATGTGTGTGAGTCTATGTGTATGTGTGAGTGTGCATGTGTGTAAATGTGTATGAGTGTGTGTGGGTGTGTGAATGTGTGAGTGAGTCTATGTGTATTGTGAGTGTGTGTAAATGTGTGTTTTTGAGTGTTTGTATGTGCGAGTGTGTGTGAATGTGTGAGTGTGTGTGTGTGAGCTCCTTGTTTGATACTAAGTGCCTTCCTCCCCAACGCAAGTGTTCAGAATGCTAAATTACCTGTTAACAAGCATTTAAAATAGCACTTTATGCTAATTCAGATTATCATGGTTCCCAGAACGCTTAATTTTACCTTTGAAATCGCTGCTCTGCATCAGGGGCGGTGGCGTCAGGGCCTGTGATCGAGCATCCGAGTGGCGTCTGTGCTCCCTGTGTGGCCACGGGGGTTCCCACGGACGCGTGTGCACAGCTTGTGCACCGTGTGCCGTGGATCCGATCTGCAGGTGGAGTGAACTTCAGGAGCCCGGCCGCCACCTTCCCTGTCCCTCCCGGCCTTGGCGGGGAGAGCAGCCCCACCTGCCCTCACCCATGGGGAACTGTTCCTCTCCTGCTGCATTTGGCCCTGACACCCACGGCACCCGACCCCCTCCCTCGACGTGGATGCTTCCCTTGCTCTGTCTCTGATAATGACCTTGGGGCTGAGTTGCTCAGGAGGGAGGGGAAGGAAGAGAGAGGAGCTGGGCTTTACCTTTTGGGCCAGGACATCCCCGGGAAGGTCCTCAGAAGAAATCAAACGCCCCCACCTGGCCCACGAGGAGGAGCAAGTCCCCTGGGAGAGACGGGGGCACCTCGGAGGGTCAGATCCCCTGCAGGGCTGTGACCGCACTCGAAGGCTCATCAAAGCCGACGACGGACAGCTCGGCCTCTGCACAGGCCCTTTCCTGTCGGTGCAGCCGAGGGTCATTGGGAACCACGGCGAGGGTCTGGCCTGTGGTGCCTCGTAGGCAGGTCCCCCAGGGGCACAGGATCCATGACCTGCCCCTGACCAGCCGGGACATGCTCTGGAGGGCTGGCGAGTCCACCAGGATACCCTGCAGCCTGGCCTCCTTCCCTCCACACTGGCCTTCACTCCCGATGCTCCACCTGCTCCCTCACTCCCCGTCACACTCCCATTCCCCAGCAGGTTCCTGTTCTCCCCACTCTTCCCCCTCCATCATGCTCTAGTCCAGTGGTTCCCCACCTTCCTAACGCCGCGGCCCTTTCATACAGCTCCTCATGGTGTGGTGACCCCCAATTTCATTGTTACAAATTGAACATAATTAAAGCATAGTGATTAATCACAAAAACAATATGTAATTATATGTTTTCCGATGGTCTTAGGTGACCCCTGTGAAAGGGTCGTTCGACCCCCAAAGGGGTCGCGACCCACAGGTTGAGAACCGCTGCTCTAGATGCTCCATCATTCTTCATCCTCTCTCACGCTCCAGCACCCTCCATTCCACTCCAATATGCTCCTTCCTGCTCCCCATGGCCCCTGGGCGCCATTCCCAGGAGTAGTGACCGGGGCTGTGTGTCCTCCTGGGCGCACAGGGCCGAGCCCAGGGGTTCACATGGCCCGGAAGAAGCGTGTGCAGCCATCTCGGTGCTGCTAAGCCCCCTGCCCCCTCAGCCCGCTCCTCCACACTGAACCGTCCTGCTGGTCCTCCGGAAGTTCCTTCTAAGCACGGGCTCCCTCGTAGGCACCGTTTCCTCCATGGGAACCTCCCTTCCCCGCCCCACCCTTGTCTGCCCAGGTCTCCACATTCTCGGGCGTCTGTGTTAAAGGCCTCTCCCTGCTCTGTCGTGCTCGGAGCTCCCACGTGGCTGCGGTCAACTGAGCTGTGGACACTCTCCACATTCTTATGAATGACCCACCCAGTTACGAGAAACGACGAAGAACAGATGACACGCGGCCCTTCTCAGGACTGAAAGAAACCTGAAGTGGCAGGGAAGCCGAGCAGCGGCACCAGGTGGCCCAGCTAAAGGAGACCGAGATGAGGAAGGAGGCTCAGCAGCCGGCAGGTGAGCGGGCGCCTCCGGGTGGGAGGGCAGCCCGGTGCTGCAGGCCTGGGACTGAGCGGCCGAG